GGAAAGAGCAGGGCTGGGGACTGGAGGAGTGAATACGTCCTCATTCAGGGGTGCCCTGTGGGATGAGGAAGGGCGAGTCAAACCCTACCCCCTCCAAAGCCTCTCACCTCCCAGTGCCAGCTCTGGCTCACGGCCCACTTACGTGCGGACTTTGTGGCGACCCAACACAAAGGCCACCTTGCGGCTCCAGGGGTGCACGAAGCCAGCCCAGCTGCTGTCCATGGTAACATATTCCCCATTACGTGCGCAGAAACGAATGGGAGAGTGGTCAAAGGGCTGGCCAGCCAGCTGCAGGACTGAAGGGAAATAAGGTGAGGGTCAGCAGGAGGGGGCGCTGAGCAAGGCGAAAGCCACCCCGCTGGAAACTCAGGAGAGCAAGGCACCGAGACTGGCATCTGTTAAGAAGCCTGGGAGGCAGCGGGAAGGAAGAGCAGGGGGAGGACTCACTCTTCTTGTGGATGGCCAGCATGAGGGGTCGGTCCTCAGGATGCAGGAACAGGAGCACTGGGGCCCCCAGGAGATCCTGGGGGAGGTAGCCCAGCAGTGGGGCAGCCCTGAAACGGGAGGAGGCATGAGTCTGGCCCGCGCCTCAGCCCTGGCCACCCACTTTTCTTCAGGTCCTGACCTCACCTTTCATCCACATCCTGAAAGAGGCAGCTGGGTGTGTGCCGTGTAGTGAAGATCCTCTTGTCGGGCGGTATCCGGGGAGCTGAGCACAGACAATGTGGGCCAATGGGTTTCATCCAAAATGGTCCAGGGCCTCAGCCCTCCATGCTGCCTGGGGCCCAGGCTGATTGGCAATCCTCCCCACAGCTCTGCCCTAGGCCTTCTGGCCTACAAAGACGGTCTGGACCATTCTGTGACCCACACTAGTAATGAACGAGAACAAAGCACACTGCTTTGCCCTCTCCTGGTTTGGGGCTCTTAGCCAACTCTACCTCTAGAGGCGGCTACAAACCCTCATGTTTATTATACCTTCTCTGTTCCAAAATTCCAAGGGGCTGAATCATGCCTCCCAAACTCATGTCCTGCCTCATCCCCAAACCAGAGAAGGTACCCTCCCTTCCACCCCCACCAGGCTAGGCTCCTGGCCTGCCCACCTTCATAACCCGAGTGGATTCGCTCTGCAATGAGCAGGCAGCATGGCTGTGCGGGAGCCCCTTCTGATACCCGGATTTTGGTCACATATGGGGTTAGGCGAAATGGTTGGTACCGCGGCACTGGGTCCCGGTCAGGACCCCCTCTGGCAAGGGAGAAAAAAGGCATTAGTGACTATCAATGAAGGGCCACCCACCCTCCACCTCGAAGTCAGGATTCACACAGTAAAGAAAGAATATGTGTGGGAGGTGGAAGGGGTCTGCTCCCACCTACCTGATACGGCAAAAGATAGACTTCTCCTGGGTGAAGTCCTTGAAGCCTGAACCTGAGAGAGACCAGGAGAGAGGTGAGCACAGGCCCCCAGACCCTTCCTGGGCTGGGAAGAACCCAGGAAAATCTTGGGCTCTGGTTCCTCATAGAATGAGCTTCCTGCAACTGCTCATCCGTCCCCCAAGCACCTGGGGACCTCACCTGCCGAAGCCCCCAGGCCCCAGGTAGGCAGACGAGATGGGGCCGTGGAACCATAGAAGACGCCCACATCCTGGGGAGCCAGGAGCTCTGAGAAGCGGGCACCCCGGAACACGTCCTGCTTGCAGTGCAGCAGGATACCTGCCTGCTCCGAAATGTAGACGATTCGGCCTGTCAGGAAGGAGACAGCCACGGAGAAGGTATCCTGGGCAGGAAAGTGAAGACAAGAGCGGATTCAGAAGCCATGGGAGTGGGAATGAGGGTGACTTAGGAGGGAGAGGCAGGGCTGCAGCTGACCTGGTTGCGAAGTGTGTACTCAGACGTGATGTGCTCCAGCTCCTCCAGAGTGTAGGTGGACATGTCCATGGCACATGGCTCACCTTCCTCCAGGCTCCACTGCTGGTAGTATTCCTGGTTGGCTACAAGGTGAGGGCAGTGGGACATTCAGTGAGACGGCCCCACCATAGTAACCCAGGACCTGGCCACTATCCTCCTAGGAAGCACCACTCACCCTGCACCTGCTTGACACAGGCCAGTGCATACTGCAGTGTGGCCAGGGTCCCAGAGCGGCCCTTGCCCCGGCGTTCTGGTGGGAGCCGAAGCTTGAGCTCCCGCAGCGCCGTCATGAGTTCCTTCTGGGTTCTTGCACGAGCTGACTGTTCGCTGCTGCAAGGGCCAGAGGAAGGGAGCGGGTATAGACATTAGCCTCAAAGCGTGGCCCAACCCCCCCAGCCTCTTCCCCAGCCTTTCCCCCACTAACCTGCAGCCACTGGTAGATGGGTTGTCCTGTTCTGAGCTGGCACTCAGGAGGCTGTAGGCAACGGAACTGCTGGGTGGGGATGGGCTCTGAGAGTTTGTGCTAAGGGAAAAGCAATAGGCCCAAGTTGAGGAGAAAGTGACTAGTCGTATGGGCCTTTCTCCTAGCTCAGCCTGTTCACAAGACCACTCCCAGACCATAACACACAGCTATACACACCTCTTGCTGCTCTCGGTGGTCTCCAGCAGGGCTGAGTCCTTGCCATTGCCAGAGGAGGAGCTATGTGAGCTCCGCTGAGATGCACCCCTGGACTCATGCCCGTTGGACTCATTGCCACTTGAGCCATTGCTGTTGGCATCTGTGTCATCAGCCAAGCTGGGGCCAGGGCAGGACCTGTGCTGTGGAGGCCCAGGGGAAGGCGCCCCTCCAGAACAAATGGATTCTCCTGGCCTGGGGTCCCCTCCCCCATCAGCCCCTTCTGGGGGGCTACTCATGTCTGGGCCATGGGGAAGGCAGGTGGAAAACAGCGATGATGGAGAGGCCACCACGGATGCACAAGGGGCCAGGAGGCCTGGCTAGGGAGTGAAGTGGGAGACTCAGGTCTCTGAGGATTGAGAAGTTCGGTCACAGATCACAGCCAGTACCTGAAGAGGAAGACCAGAAAGGAGGGCTGAGAAAGCTGGGCTGTTAACTTGACAGTAACCCCTACACTCAGATCCTCCCCGTGCCTGCCCCCAGGCTCCTGGGACCCGGGCTTCTAATAGGAAGTTAGGTAATTCAGTTTCTTGTCCTGGTAGGGGGTGGGAGGTGGGAAGGGACCTTTCTTTGGCCTTCCCCACTACCCTTGCCAGCGTGGCCTGGGTAAGTAGAGGCTGGGCAGTCTACCAAAACCACGCTGTGGGCCAAACTGGACACCTTCCAGCCCCAAATTCCCATCTGGCTCTCACGCTGCCTAGGACTCCAAGGCCTTTGGGCTCCCGGTGAGCCCGTCGCCTCCTATATTTAGGTCTCCCGGCTAATTTTATCAGTGGGCGGTGCCACCTCCGCTGCACATGCGCGGAGACCTGCACCGCCTCACCACGGCGCTTCCGCCACCACCGCGGTCACCAGGGAAACCGACGTCAGCAGCTGAGCTCAGCGGTTGCTGGAGGGACCACAGGAGGGCGGGAAGGGCGACCCTCCCCCATTTCCCAGCGGAAGCAGGGGATGGACCTACTCCCACACAGGCACACAGGCGAGTGTGTCCAGGGTTCGCCCACCTCTAGTACAGCTCCAGTTCCCTGAGAGATGTAGCCTATCGGGACTCCGCGGGCTGGCCTGCTCCCCAGGGCACAACACAACTGCCACTGCCCTCCCCACAGCCTGACACTCGCCTGGATCCCACTCATTCTGGTCAAGACCACTCAGCCTTACATTCTCTGGCCCTACACCCTCATCCAACCGCCCAAACCGAAGCTGGCACCTGCCATTGTCAGGGACCCAAGAATCCTTTCACTTCAGCCCGCGAATTTTCTAGACACCTACCGCCCCCCCCCCGCCCCAATCCGAGGCAGACACACTCAGCTCTGAGCACGGGATGCACATAGCCAGCGGATATTTCTTCCCTTACTCCCGGTCCAACCACACCCCCAAACCCCGAGCATTTTCTGAGCGCCAGGAGCACAGGGAAGGCTGTAGCCAACAGCAAGAACTAGCACCGGGAACGGGATGTTCCAGCCGAAACGGCCTGACATCACGGCCGGCGCTGGGCCAGGGGTTGAGGGGGGAGTGCAGAGAGCACAGAAACCCAGAAGGGGTCCTGGTACCGCGGCAAAACCGGGGACCCCCGAGTGACAAGAAAGATGGCAGGGGTCGTGCCTGCTGAGGGTAGGGCGTGCGACCGGAAGAGCTGGGAGCGGAGCGGGGAGGGGGGGCAAAGCGGGAGGTAAGGTAAGGTAAGAGGGTCATGAGTACGGACAGCCGGTGCAGGGTTGCAAGGAACCACACCTGGCCCCCAGGGGGGCCGAGAGGGCGTGGACAGCGGTAAAGGAAGGTGGATTATTGGTGAGCTGTCTGAACTCCTGGGCCGGAAACAGCATATCAGGCTGAAAGTAGGGGCGATCCGATTTGGAGCTGGTAACCGGCTCCCGGGGGGAGGGCGAGCCACGGAGACGCCTACCTGTCCGCGCGAGCGTCCTTCAGCCGCCTGCCTGCCGCCGTTGCAGCCCGCAGCCGAATGGAAGCTCCGCGGGGCCAGGAGGTGGGTTGCATAATGCCAGGCACTGCCCCTCATTGGCCTCCCGCCGGCGGAGCCACAGGCCCCGCCCCCGATTGGCTGAGGATCTCGTCCTGGCACCTGATTGGCTACTGGCTCCCACTGAGGTCAGGGCTGTGTCACACACGCGGGTGCACGTGGATCTGGGTGCTGGCACTGAGCTGAAGGGCCCCAGACGTTACCGACCAGCCAATGGGCGCGGGACGCCTTGTACAGTGAATACTGAAAGGAAGGGGAGTCAGCTGCTCCTCTTCCGGGAACATGCCCAGGCCACATTAGGTATGTAAGAGATGTTCACTCACTCACTGATCAGCCTTGCCGGACGCCTCAGCCTTGCTAGGGGCGGGAAAAGCGAATGCGGACCCTGGGAGGAGGATCAAACCGGATGAGATGGCTGGTCCCTGAGAGGAGGGGGCCAAACAGAAACTCGGCTTGACTTCTCCTGGATTCCCTTTCTCAGCCTTGTTATTGTAATAAAGCTATTTTACCCAACTCCTGCCTCTGACACTTCAAATCCTTACACAGCTAGGAGGAAGGCAATTGAGAATCCAGATATTATATTAGGAAGCGTGGTGAAGGGTACAAACAATACAGTGGGCAGCCAGAGCCAACAGGAGGTATGAAGGGAAACAATGGTAGGCGCTTCTGTGGCCAGAGAAAAGGTCTCTAGGGCCTAGGCAGCCTACATGGTGACTAGTGCTTCTTTATTCAGGATGCAGCCACCCACAGTTAGGGCTGCCCCAAAAGTGGGGGGCTAGAAACCCAGGGTTAGAGGGAAAGAAAAGGGATACCTGAGAAAAAAGACCAACTGGGACCCTAGAGAGAAAAACGACTGGTGGCAAGGGCTTCAGAGCTCTCCCCTGAGGAAAAGAGAAAGCCAAGGACTTCATCTCTCTACTTCACTGTATTCCCCAGACCCTAGGACAGAACCTGACACATGGCAGATGATCAATAGAAACCATGGTTTTGCCCTAACCAGTTTGGCTCAGTGGATTGAGTGTCGGCCTGCAGACTCAAGGGTCCCGGGTTCGATTCTGGTCAAGGGCATGTACCTCGGTTGCGGACACATACCCAGTGGGGAGTGTGCAGGAGGCAGCTGATCGATGTTTCTCTCTAACTCTCTATCCTTCTCCTTTCCTCTCTGTAAAAAGTCAATAAAATATATTTTTAAAAAAAAGAAACCATGGTTTTGTTGTTAACAATGATGGGGGAGGGGAAAGGGACTCAGCACCGGAGAGGGACTGAAAATCACAACTTTTTTAAAGGAGGAGGAGCAGAACACTGAGTCCTAAAAGCAGAACAGAGGCCTGATTGGGGGAATAAAGCACCAGGGTAGGCCCAGGAGAGCTGCAGTTACACAGGACCCTCCATCCAGGACTGTGACGAGTAGTTCCTCTCAGGGCTCCCTGAAGATGCCCCAGCTGATGCTGACATAATCACTCTCCTCGCTGTCACAGGCCTAAGCTTTCCTTAACAACAGTGTCCCCACTGGGTGCCAAGGGAGGGGGGGGGCTCTGTGGAAAAGCTGGGAGGATATAAAATAACCTAGAAAAACCAAAGCAAGAAAACACAGGAAGCACCTGTATTTTGTCTTCTCTACTTGACAGTGTACCCCCCCTCCCCCCAACGCACAAATTGTGGCCCCATCCCTTGTCTCATTTTCAGACATCCCTTCTCTGGAAACATTTTTCTTCCTCCCCAGCTCTCCTCAGGGTAAAGGTGCAATCTCTCCTGACACAGACAGTCCTTGCTCTCCCACCTACACTTCCATATTTATTTTTTGCATAGACAAAAGGGCCCCGTGCTCCAGCAGACCTCACCTGCTCCCACAGCCCTGGTTGTCCAGCTCATGGTCCCCACAGTAACCAGGCCCTGCTGCCGTCAATGGAGGAGAGGGGGCGGGAGGCAGCGGTGACGTCAAAGCGGAGGAACGGGGCGGGGCGAGGAAGCCGGGGAATGTGGGGCAGGGAGGCTGGGGAGGCAGCGGTTTGGATGGCGGCCAGACCGAGAGGGCGGCGGCCAGCGCACTTGGGAACATCATGTTCTTTTGGCTGGTGGCCCAGGACATGCACCAAGCCCGCGCGCCTCCCACAACCCAACGACAGCCGTCCTGTCCCACAGCCAGGGATTCCTGGAGAGAGGATTAGAAGGGGCCCCCTTCCCCTGCTCTTTCCCAGACACGCATCGCCCGCCCCTGGGCTTGTTCCTACAGCTCCTGGCACTGACTTTCCCCGCTCCCAAACTGTACACATCTACTGGCCCAATCACAAAGAGCCAGGGAGGCCCGGGCTCTGTGAGAGAACACATGCACCTTTGCTCTTTGCGAGGCCCCCTAGGAACCTGAATCTCTCGTTACTATGGCAGCAAAGAAGGAGGGGCAGGGAGGAGAATGGGTCTAGGAAGGATGAAGAAATCAAACTGGGAAAGCAAGTGGCTCAGCCTAGGGCCTGGATCCTGGGAGAGGGTTTTGGACTGGTGCCTGAAGACCAGAACCAGGAAGAGGGAAAGGGGGAGGGAGTCACCAAAACTGGCAGAAAAACTCGAGAATGACAATAGTTCCACAGCATTCACATAAATCTCTCGCCCTTTCACTGTTTTGTCATCCTATAGGCATATTTTTAGCTAAATAATTTTTAAAACATGACCCAGGCATTTTTTCAAGCACTTTATATACATTATCTTTTTTTAAAATATATATTTTATTGATTTTTTAAAGAGAAGAAGGGAGAGGGATAGAGAGTTAGAAACATCGATGAGAGAGAAACATCGATCAGCTGCCTCCTGCACATCTCCCACCGGGGATGTGCCCGCAACCCAGGCACATGCCCTTGACCGGAATCAAACCTGGGACCCTTGAGTCCACAGGCTGACGCTCTATCCACTGAGCCAAACCGGTTCGGCTACATTATCTTATTTAATCTTCATAGTAACACTGTGAGATGGGTATTATTTTTTTTTTTTAAACATATTGATTTTTTACAGAGAGGAAGGGAGAGAGATAGAGAGTTAGAAACATCGATGAGAGAGAAACATCGATCAGCTGCCTCCTGCACATCTCCCACTGGGGATGTGCGCGCAACCCAGGTACATGCCCTTGACCGGAATCGAACCCGGGACCCTTGAGTCCGCAGGCCGACGCTCTATCCACTGAGCCAAACCGGTTTCGGCGAGATGGGTATTATTATCACCATTCCACAAGAACCTACTAAAGGTCCTAAGTTACTAAACTTGACTAAACTGTCTCATAACACGTTCTCAGGCTCTGAATAAATAGAGCCCTAGTTCAAATGTGACCTCTGATAATGGCTTGAGATTCTGGCTTCTTAGCTTTCTGGAACCTGTGAGCGGTTAGTCAACACTGGGGAACCTGAACCTCTCAAATATCTTGCCAATTCTGAGCTTGGTGCCTGGAACACAGACCCCATCCAAACCCTCCTCTCATTTGGGACATTCAGTTTGCATGCCCCACACACTTCAAGTCATCACAGCCCCAGTTTTCACATGCACACTAAGTCCTTGAGGTCATCCCAGCAGCTACCAGACCCAGTGATTTCCTAGGAAATCACTTCCACCTTACCCCAGGTCCCTTTCCCACAGGCCCAGTTGTTTGTACAGTTACCAGAGCACCCTGTTGGTTCCTCTTTATCTCCAGGGCCTGAGGAAGACGTGTGCACAGCCAAACTACAAAACCACCATCCCTCTCAGGTGCTACCTCACCGTTACTCCCAAGGATGGCTCCCAGGCCTAACCCCTTCCCTTTACACACAGGACATTCAGAGCCCTGATGTGAGGGGCGCAGGGTCACACAAATCACCCTGTCGAACCTTTCCAGCCCCTCCACCTCCCTCTCAGTCCCTGCAGCCTCAGAACCTCTGTCTCTTTCAAGTGCTTAAGACACATACCCAAACAGCAGCCACACACTGGAACGTCCCCGTCCACCCTCAGGGATCCCGACCCTCTGTTTCCTTGGGAGCGGGGGTCTCAGCACCCTCATGTCGCTGAGGGCTTCCGAGCCCCGCCTCCCAGTCAGTCTGGGGTCCAGGTACCTTAGAGCCGTGAAGGATTTGATGTCAGTGACCTCCCTGAGCTCCCAGCCAGCCCCTCTAAGGTTGAGTTCTGGTCCCTATTCCCCACAACCATCAGGGCTCCCACCGCTGCGATCATACATGCGCAGGATCCTCCCCACACACTCCATTAACACCCCTACAGAACACACCACCCCAGAAAAACTGACCACCGCCCCTCTACCCCCAACCCTGAGTACTCACCATTTGGTAAGCACGCCGAATCCAATCTCTTCCCAACTAGGACTACAGGTCTGGGACTCGCTCCTCCAGGCCCGCCCACCCGCTGGGATGCCACGCCCCTCAAGCTTATTGGCCTAAGGGCGCCGATCCATGCCCAACGCCTCGTGCCTTCGCCAGGCCTCCGCTCAGCCACCATTGGCGCCGCCCGCCGCCATCATCTCCTCATTGGTCAATTTACCAATCCGCAGTGACAAATTCACGTTCGGGAGGGGCCGCACCCGGCGCGCATTGATTGACAGAAAGCCGAGCCCACAACCACTTCCGATGTTCCTATTGGCTGTAGCAACCTGCCTGGGTCGGTGACGCACATGCTAGCCCCTCCCTCCAAACTTTCTCATAGGCTGAGATATCTTGGAGCTGTAGAGAACACGTGCCGACGGTCTCACGCGGCAACTTGTTTACCCAGAAACTGGGGATTTTCCTTGACACGCTTACTCAAGGCAGTGGAGTCTGCGCAGACGCAAGGACTGTGACCTGCACGCAGGCGCTGTTGGGTGCAACGATGGCTTTGAAGGGGGTGCTCTGTGCCGAGACCCCAAGAGAGGTCCCAGGGTGAAAAGAGCGCCCCGCCCCCTTCCCCAGCATTGGGACGGCTCCCAAAAGCTGGAAGGTGTGAGCTTTAGGGTGAAGAGGTATTAGATCAGTGCCACGTATGAGGAGGATGATGATAGCAGGCTCCTAGATTTCCTTTGGACCAGGCTAGGTGCTTCTCACAAACGCAGAGCAGGCCGGCGTACTTACTACCCACTGCTTCACAAATGAGATTGGGATTCAGAAAGATCACATAATCCGCTTGGGTTAACACACTAGTCAGCAGATTTGAACCCATGTCCCTAGCACAGGGGTGGGCAACCCATGGCACGCCAGCAACTTTTGCTGGCACACGAAACCCTCTTATAATCTTCC